GCAAGTCTGCAGAAACAGAACCCAAAAGGCTTCTTTACTTAAACCCAGCAAGAATCACAGCCCGATTCAAATGGGAATGGTCTTCCCTGGGAAACCATGGCTGGGAAACCATGGCTTTCAGAAATCAAGTGAACAAAACCAACTCAAGGCCACTGAATCAAATCCAGAAATAAACTCCGGCCAAGAACTCAGTACCACCACCTGGTTGCCTCAAATAACCCACAAATATCAAAGGTAATTATCAATTAACTCAGGACCTAATTTCGAGAATGAAGGACGAATGGATGAAAATAACTATGCTTGTGCTATATTTGGAAATGGAAATATGTCCCTCTATCATTAAATCTCAGAATGGTGTCCTAGAAATAGACATTATTTATTCCACAAGCTGACAGAGGATATGCTAAGTCTGGAAGGCAGGCTCACTAGTGAGATATAAAGGTAAGGGATACATCGTTTTGGTCTTCAAGGAACTTCGCATCCACCGTGAAAAACCAACAAATGACCGACACACACACAATACACACAAAAGCAGACATAGGTCTCTCTGCTGGTCCTTCATCTTTGTCCTGGCACGTGACAGCTGGCCTGGGAGGCCCGTGGGGATGAGTGAACAAATGAATCAACAGTGGGAAAAAGCATCCAGGAGGACAGGAAGACAGGCAATACTGGGAGAGTTATAGTCAGAAGCGGTGTGAACAACGTGCCAAAGGAGAGCAGAGAGACTGAGAGGTGGAAGGCAAAGGCAGGAGGAGGAAACTTCATGTTAGGCTCGTCGGCATTCTCTTAAATACTACTTCAAAAACATTTTAAACAAGAAACCAGGGAGTATCAGTCATCACGCCTTCTGAAAGGAGGGGTAAAACATCTCATGACTTGCTTTCAGAGGAGGGAAAAAAAATGCAGGAAGGGTCCCAGGATGCTTCCAAATCTGGGATGAAACTCCATCAACCACTTTCTGCATCCCACCTCAAGGTAGAAGATATTTCCTCTCTTCTCTCTTCCCAGGAATGGGTATTCTGTATTGCATCCTCTGGGATTAAGAGAGCAAGGCGTCCTGAGGTCTCGCTCAGAACCTAAGCGCTCGGTCGGCCACAACGCACAACCCTTGAGTCTCTCCCAGGTGGGGTTCTTAAGAAGAATTCCCGATCCAGCACCTTTAAACTTAGTGGTTAATGATGCCACCTTCGATTACGTGCTCATCAGTGAGCCAGAAATGTGCCACAAGAGAGACAGGCCAACAGCTGTGCTCCACGTAAAGCGAGAGATCACCACCACCACGCGTCTGGAGTGAGAAGTCCACCTGCACACCAGGAGAGCCTCTGAAAGCTAGCTTCCAAAAAGCTTCATGTATTTGCCTAAATAAAAAAGACAACCCGCCTTTTCTATCTTCCTCTATGTAATTTTAAATTGCAGGGGTGCCTGGGTGGCTCAGTTGCTTGTGTGTCCAACTTCAGCTCAGGTCATGATCTCACAGTTCATGGGTTCAAGCCACGTGTCGGGCTCTGTGCTGACGGCTCAGAACCTGGAGCCTGCTTAGGATTCCGTGTTTCCCTCTCTCTCTGCCCCTCCCCTGTTCACACTCTGTCTCTCTCTCAAAAAGAAATAAACCCTAAAAGAAAAATTTGAATTGTATGATTTGCTTGAGAAAAATTAATTTAGACAGCATAAATCTTTTAGCAACCTTTCATTCCTCTGATATGTTAAACTGTTTAGTAACTTTATGCAAACATGTATTTAATTAGCATGACTTCCTTTACTTGGCCCTTCTGTCACTTTTAATCTCATTTTAAACTAATTAAATTTGTTCTAAACAAATCTGAATTTTCATTAAACGAATCTGAATTTTCATTAAATACCCAGTTTCACAACACAGTGACAGAAGAAATCATTCCTTCCCAAGAAAACCTACCAAGTACCCCTGTAGACGTTAAGGCCTAGATGCAGCACAGAGAAAGGAGACTGAGGAAAATTCTGGAGCTGGTCAGTAACAAATGAATCTACTATAAAAATGGCCGGGGCTAAAGACGAAGGCCAAGCACATCGCAGGGAAGAATCGAGCAGCGCTCCATGCCTGTGTGGCCAGCTTCACAGCATCTGAACTCCCGGCTGCCTGGGACCACTAGGCACTCCCCCAACTGGTCAGCCGGGGCACCCTTCCTCGGCCTCAGGTCACTTTAGGGCACACGTTTAAGAAGAACCCAGTCAGGGTACACACGCTAGTTTCTCTGCCACTGTGATAGTTTTCCATATAACAGGAATGAACGCACTGAAAATTCTCCAGTTGTAAAGGGAACCACTTAACCTTTAAAACAGATTTGAGGTCTCCTTGGTCTACCAACTTCATCAATTCTAGAAGTTCCTACGGTGTAAGTCAATGAAAACAAAATGTGTTTTCACTTTTAAATAAATTCCCAAGCCTGGTAACAAGACAGATTCTACTGTTTGCTAACTGGAATGTTTTTATTATAAGATTCTTTTTCTTAAAAATGCTACTTATGTTATTAAAGCCAGTGAACTGAGACCCAGTCTCTGGGGAACAGCTCTTGCAAAACGCTTTCCTTCTAGTTTCCTTTAGTGTCTGCTTTCTGAAAACTGTAACCAAGCTGAAAAGGTGATGTAAATCATATATACTGCTTCACGAAGTCTTCTCCGTCCTAAAGTCAAGCAAAATCTTTACAAATCCTGCTTCAGAATATTCCTTGGCACGTCACAGAGACAAACAGCAGATTAGGGACACGCGGTGGCAGACCTTCCTCTGTCTCCAGAGGCACAGGCTACCCGAGGCCACGGCGCCCCCTGCGGCTCAAGTGACAAGCTTCACCCCCCCAGCCACTGTGCTTCCCTAGGAGGGGGCTGCTCGGAGCTATTTGCTGCCGTCTGTCTGTCTGTCTGCCGCACCTGGAAGAGCGAAGGCACAGTCTGCTTTTTCATACACATCACCTTCTCCCTCTCGGCCTGGGTGTCCAAATGCATGAGGTAAAGAGTTGCTGACATCAACATTGAAGGGAAAGAGAGAGAAACACACAACTGTACTGCAACAGGTGGGCATAAAGAAAGTTCCAGAAGGCGCAGGGGAAACAGCTGACCCTGCCTGGAGCAGTGAAGGGAAGCTATATACCCAAGTTTCAGGGGCGCCCGAGTGTCACAGGTTTGGGGACACTGCTGAGTGTGACGGGCTGCAGGCAAAGTGGAGACCGGACCGTTAGGATGCAGAGAGGTTTCAGGCCAGTGCCCCACGTACATAAGGAATCACTGACAGTTCAAAAGCAAGGCTATGACCCGATCAAATTTCTATTTCTGTGGCAGCATTGCAGGAGGCTGGAGCGAGAGCGGCCAGAGGCAGGGACACCCACTGGTGGCTACGGCCTGACCCGAGCTGAGGGAAGAACTCACAGCTGGCTGCACCCGTGACCAGAAACCGCTGTGGACAATCGTACCATTGGTAAGTCTCCTCAGAATTACCATGTGTCCTTGGAAAAAAACCAAAAACCTTCTTTTGGGGCACCTGGCTGGCTCAGTCAGATAAATGTCCGACTCTTGGTTTCGGCTCAGGTCCCGATCTCACAACTGGTGAGTTCAAGCCTTGAGTCGGGCTTCACTGTAAGTGAAGAGCCTGCTTGGGATTCTCTGTCTCCCTTTCTCTGCCCCTCCCGGCTTGCTCTCGGTCTCTCTCTGTCTGTCTCTCTCTCTCAAAAATAAACAAGCGTTAAAAAAAAAGCAGTTTCTTCGTAAATACCGTAAAGTCTTTTTTAGTTATGGCATTATTAAGGGCAGGCAGAGAAGCTGGCGGCAGTGGTGTTCTGCTCTGAGAGCCTCCCCAGGCCCACACAGCGCCGGCTGCTGCAGGAAGGGCTGCCTGCGCAGCAGAGGACGGCAGAGCCCATCACCGGCCTGGGTGGGCCAAGGTCTCAGGGTCTGTCTCCAGGCTGCCACACAGGCTCGCAGAGTTTCAGAGTAAGAGGGAAGTATGGGTTTCTGGGAGCCAAGCCTTTAAGTGATGAATGGCCTGGGCGACAACTAACTGCCCAAGATCCAGAACTGGCGGTGAGGTTCCTTCCCTTTGAGCACAGCTCCCGCTTCCTGGTCTCTGACGCCCCTCCCGCGGTTCTCGGGCAGCCCTACGCTTTCCAGATCCTTCTTCCCAGCCTGCGTCTATAAGCTTTCATGTGCTCAATCTCAGATCACCTGGAAGGGCTCCTCATCTCCAATTTACAAAGAGCTGTGAAGTAGAGAGGTTTTTTTTCCCTTCACAAGAAGATGCAGTAAAAGTTGACATCTTTAGTCAATTTGTAGTCCTACCGAAAACTTTAGATTACGTCTTTTTTCTCCTAAAAAGCTACATAAGCTTAATTGTAATTTTGTAGGATTTCTCCTAAGAATAACATACACGTACACAAGGTATAATTAGTATCCACCTATTTTCATGTACCAAATAACATGATCTTTTACAATGACAAGAGCATAGCTATGAAGTCAGCACTAGTATCCCGATGGCCATGTTGGGTTTGGCACATTTAAGTTCAATATTACGTAGAATTCACTTTTATCATGATCTGAGAGTGGTCACACAGTCCGATAAAATCATGTCAACCATGACACCGGCCACATGACAGCCTTACCCACGGAAAGGAAACCAAGCTGTGACCACAGTCACAGCTAAGGTGGACACGCTCCGTCCTCTCTCCAAGTTAAAGACCCCTCTACCAGCTCCAGGCTTCCCTGCTCACCTCCTACTCCACACCCTTCCCTGGCCAGCCCAGGCCTCACGGGTCCACTCCTGACAGACACGCAGGCTTCCACACTGGCGAAGACAAGCAAGGAGCCAGCAGCCTAGAGCACAGTCCCCCGTGCATGCCGACCTGCTCAGGTCGAAAGCCTTTGTCTCATGGCTCACCACCTCCGGTCCACTTTCTCACATCACAACCAGTCCACACTCTTCCCAAGGGGTTCCAAGGGCCTTTCAGAGCCAGGCTCCATCGTGCGTCCCGATGCCTTACCTCCTTGACATGGCTGTGAAACGAGACCGACATGTCCAGCAGGATCTTCCGCTGCTCTACACGCCGAACAAAATCTTGTATCCGGTCTTCAAGCTGATGGGCAGCCTGATAAATCTCTTCTGGGTCACATTCCCCGGTCTGCGCCAGCTGTTCTGCTGCTTCCAGTAATTTATCCGCGTTGGTATATGTGTTCTGCACAAGAGAAAATCCAGAGAAATAGAAGGTGAATTAGAAAAAAACCCAGCTGGCCATCACACATGGCAACTGAGTCACTTTGGAACACTCCAGATCATTGCTGCAAATGAAACAGAAAAAATATGAAGGGAAGAGATGAGTTAAGGAGTTCAGTATACCTCTATCAGCAGCCTTTTCCATTACTGTTCTAGATTGTTAAACTCTGAGCCTTCCCTCTGAAGCGGAGGCAGCTGTGGCTGTCCCATGACTCACAGAGGGCTTTCGGCTTTGTGCTGCTGCACATCCAGAAGATAGCACACAGCACAAATGCCCACTTCACTTTCCCTTCCAGTCTTATGACGGAGTGCAGAGTTCCAGTTTTGTCTTTCAGTATGACATACGGTTTTATAATTCCCCAAGTGCAAGTGGAAAGACTGGGTTCCAAGTACAAGTTGCTGTCTTCTTTAACATGTTTCTACTTACCGGTAATTCTGTGCTTCTCTCTCTTCTACTTAAGAACACATACTTTTTTGAGAAAAAGGAAATAACCATAATGGCTTATACAAACTAGCTAGAGTTTTAGAGAGCTTAAAGTTATGTGTAAATAGGTATCTAAAATACCCTGAGAATTACTCCATTTTGATCCATGATAAATGAAAGGCTGCAAATGGGTTCCCCAAATAAAGAGGTGTACCAGAGAGCCGCCCCTGCTCATGGAAATGCTGGAGAGAAGGCAGGCCGGCAGGGGCCGGGGGCAGCCAAGAGTGGGAGGGCTTCAGCAACGTGCAAGAACAGAGGGAAGGCCGGTAGAGCAGGCTGAGGTCCCTTTTAGAAACAGGCTGTGTCCTCTGTCCTTCTCGAACATGTCAGTCCTGCAGCTGAGCAGGGGCAGCGTCTCATCAGTGGACAGAGTGTGGGGCAGTGTCCCTGCAGAAAGCCTGCACCTGGGAAGGACGAGGGCGCCCCTGCATGGGCAGCCTCCCACTGGGGGGACATCCATCTACTGAAACAACACATTAAGGATAAGGAGGGGCAGTGTCCTTAGTTCAGAAAAGGGAGTTACAGATGTGGAAAAGGAGAAAAGCTGAGCTAGCCCTATAGTACCAGGCTGGAATTAGACGGATGCGTGTGATACATGGTTCTACAGACACATGTGGGAATGTTTGCGTTTGTACACACACACACACACACACACACACACACACACTCTTTCCCTCCTCCAATGAGAAGGCCCAGGAGTAGCCACGGCCCAACAGCAGTTAAGCATTCCTAGTACCCAGATTTCTACCTGGAATGGCCATTCTCCTCTACAAGGAACCAGGGCTCTTGGAGATATGGCTGACTCGAGGTTGGGATGGGACAAAGCACAAGATGAGCCTGAAATATCTTACTGTATCCAGAAGGAAGGAGATGCTTGAGAACAATGTGGGTAGGTCAGGCCACAGAGGTTAGCTTGAGGGGGCTCCCACTGGCCAAATCAGGGACGATCTGAGAGTAAACAGTGAGACTAACAGAGTATAAGCCACCAATGCAAAGGAAAGCACGAGTCCATACGGACATAAGTAAATAAATAAAACTAGACGAGGAAGAGGATATTTATAGAATTTCAAAGGAGCTCCCCACTAAGTGCTTGTTAATTACCGAGAGGGAGAGACTCATCCCACAGTGGAGAAGCCTGGCAGACACCACTTCAACCCAGAAGTCAACACGAGGACCACAGGTAGTGGGACAAATGAAAACTGGGTGTCGCCCAATGGGACAGCACAAGGACACGGCAGCGTGTCTAGGACACACCCAGCCGAAGACATATAACTGGAGTCTAATCATGAGGAAGCATCAGGCAAACCCAAAGGGAGGAGCATTCTCCAAAATAATGGGCCTGAAATCCTCCAAAGGTCAGAAAAGTTTAGGCACAACCAAGGAGGTGCTACCAACGCAAGGACCTTGGAAATGCGACCACTTGATGCCACCGGTGATTGTGCACCGGGTCCTTCAGCTGTAAGGACATGCCGGGGGCTGAGGGTTAGAAGGTAGGCACGTCGCAGTGCTAGCCTCCTGATTCTGACAGTGATATGTGGGTGCACAGAACAGCGTCCCTCCTTGGTGGGAAAAGGACGCTAAAGTCAGCAGTTCAAGGAGAGTTACGTTCTCTGTGCTATCTGTCCAATGTTCCTGCAAGTTGAAAAAACATTGAAAGCAGCTATAAATGCAGCATGGTAAGTATGAGATGGTCTCAGTAAGGAGGACGCTGACGCACAGAAACAGAGGGAGGGGTTCCCCTGGCATCAGGGTGGGGGTGCAATGCCCCACCCCACACAGGCCACAAGCAGCATCTACGGGGAATTTAACCTTGACAATAAAAACTAACTGAAAGCAGTCTGTTCTGTTGTCATCAGCACAGGCTGAACACCCAGCTCTCCCAGCTCTCCACGAGCCACTGTCCTGAGCCCTTGCTGCACCTCGGGTGTGAGCCCGACCACAGCCCCTGCCGCAGGTAAGGAAATGAGGCCCGCGGGGCAGTCACGAGGCCCAGAGGACAAGGTTGGCGGGCGTGGGAGCAGGAGTCGGCCCGGTCTGAGGGTGCGGACTGTGCCCATGACCCCCCACGGACTGTTCAGCTCGCAGGAGCCCGCCCGGCAGGGCTTCAGGCAGCACCGTGAGCGTGCTGCTGCGGGGTAAGGTTCACCACTGCCTCTGCCTGTCAACGTCAACCGGAACCACCATCTTCGGGGGACTTCTCTTTTTGGTATTCTTCACTATCAACACAGGATCTTTCAGAGTTCTCTTTAGAAATGAGCAAAGAGATGTCAAAGGATCCCTTAAAATATACTAATTATGACCAGAATTGGAAAATGCACATACATACATTTTGCATATTCTTTGGAAACAATTATCTGAAGCAATTCGAAAGCACAGTCAGTTCCCTGTCTGAATGCAGAACTTACCAGCGCATGAAAGGGCTGTCTGTACATTCAACACAACATATTTGGAAGCTCAGTTATAACAATCCCTACACAGAGAGACAGTGACACGGCCCACTTCAAAAGAGCTTTGGAAAGCAGAAGCGTGACTCTGGACCTCCGCATGGCCGAGACCCAGTCCAGCAGCCTGCCAGGGAGGACCGTGACAAGAAGCCCTCCACACGCAGACATCACACTGCTCGGGGCCTCCGGGTGCCAGGATGGAAGGACTCACGGCAGAGGCCAGAGCTCCAGCACCAGTCACGTCACAGACTCGGTGCCCCTGAGCCACAGGCTGCGGACATTGCTGCCTTACAGATGGATGAGGAGGCATAATGTCCTGATGAGGATGCTATTAACAACAATAAAAAGTAAGGGCAGAAACTCTTGGAGGCAAGAGGAGCCTAAGCAGACAGGACAGCCACATGCCATGCGGCATCCTGGAGGCGGCCCTGGAAACAGGGGGAAACAGGGGGAAACTCAGGGAATCTGAACAAAGGAAGGGCTTCAGTTCACAGCAGCAGCTCAGTATCCGACAACTATAACAAACGTGCCATAGTAAGAAAGTAACCATAAGGGAAGCCGGGGACAGGGTATGGGAACTCTCCCCATCATTTTCACAACTTTTCGGTAAACCTAAAACTGGTCTAAAAAATAAAGTATATTTAAAAAATACACATGGTTAGCAATCCCCATCAAAATAACACCAGCATTCTTCACAAAGCTAGAACAAATAATTCTAAATTTGTATGGAACCACAAAAGATCCTGAATAGCCAAAGTAATGTTGAAAAAGAAAACCAAAGCTGGAGGCATCACAATCCCTGGACTTCAGCTATACTACAAAGCTGTGTCACGTCAGACAGTATGGTACTAGCACAAGAACAGACACTCAGATCAATGGAACAGAATAGGGCAGAAATGGATATTTACAAGCATTATGTGACCTAATCTTTTGTGACAAAACAGGAAAAATATCAATGGGAATAGAACAATCTCTTCAGCAAGTGGTGCTGGGAAAACTGGACAGCCACATGCAGAAAAATGAACCTGGACCACTTTTCTTACATCATACACAAAAATAAACTCAAAATGGATGAAAGACCTCAATGTAAGACAGGAAGTCATCGAAATCCTAGAGAAGAAAGCAAGCAAAAAACCTCTTTGACCTCAGCCACAGCAACTTCTTACTCAACACGTCTCTGGAGGCAAGGGAAACAAAAGCAAAAATGAACTATTGGGACCTCATCAAAATAAAAGCTTCTTTCTTTTACTTTGAAACAATCAACAAAACTAAAGGCAATCAACAGGATAGGAGAAGATATTTAAACGACATATCAGATAAAGGCTTATTATCCAAAATCTATAGAATTTACCAAACTCAACACCCAAAAGTCAAATAATCCAGTGAAAATGGGCAAAAGACATGATATGGACACTTCTCCAAAAGAGACATCAGATGGCCAGCAGCACATGAAAAATGCTCAACATCACTCATCACATCCCAGGAAGCCACAAATCAAAACCACAGCTGAGATACCCACCTCACCTGTCAGAATGGCTAACATTTAAGAACTCAGACAGCAACAGATGTGTTGGCCGAGGATCACGAGGAGAAAAGAGGATCTCTTTGCGTTGTTGGTGGCAATGCAAGCTGGTGCAGCCACTCTGGAAAACAGGATGGAGAGTCCTCAAAAAACTAAAAATAGAACTGCCTATGTCCCAGCAATTTGCAGTGTCAAAGAGTGCAGGTGCTGCTGTTTCAAATGGGCACCCCAATGTTTATAGCAGCACTATCAACAATAGCCAAAATATGGAAAGAGCCCAAATGTCCACTGAGAGATGAATGGATAAAGAAGATGTGGTATGTATGTATATATGTGTGTGTGTGTGTGTGTGTGTGTGTGTGTGTGTGTGTGTGTGTGTGTGTATATACATACATATACAATGGAGTATTACTCGGCAATCAAAAAGAATGAAATCTTGCCATTTGCAACTACGTGGGTGGAACTGGAGGGTATTATGCTAAGCAAAATTAGTCAAAGACATCCTATGACTT